ATTTATCTGACTTAAACCAAAGTCATATGAACGCTGAGATGACAAATCCAAGGACCATGTCAGACATACCAATAAAATCAATTGTACAGTAACAATCTGTTCATTCCCCTCATCAAGTCTCCAATTAACCTCATTTACCTTATCCTCATTCTATTTACTTCTCGACCACCGACCACCAGTGGTACCAAGATCTCTTTATACTCCAAACATTCAATTAATCTGATAAATTCCTTTGGCCCAGGTGTTCAATTGACTCAGTAAATTCCCTGTAACATGGTGGTTTAATAAACCAAGATGATTCCAAGCAGATCCCCTGTAGCTCAGTACAGTGTCGTTTACTTATCCTCCCTACACACATTTACTTACTCGACACTACAGATATCTGTATATAATACTGCTACTCCCAGAACTGCTACCATTTGACGACTTCAGACACTGTACCACTGATATAACCCCCAATGTCAGCAGTAAATATACCTTTATTAATGTCAACTAAGACACAATAGCTTTTTTCCCCCGATAAAGAATTCAAGAAAAAAATTCTTTAACTTTCAATCTTGATTTAAATGTTCTCCACAACCTAAATAAATATATGCAACAATATCTTTCAAAAGAAGAACAATTAATTCCAGACTCCATTATATTTGTAAAATTTCCTTTTAACTACACGTGAGAGTAGCCGTAAAATACAGACCTGGTTAAGATCTTAACTCACCTTTAAGTCTCCTGTATAATATCTAGATATACCACACAAACTGTCCACCAGTTATCACAAAAGGTAGCGGTCAGTCAGGTACAGGTCACTTGTCGACTGGACACTGGTCAGCTGGATTAATTAACTACCTGCATGGGCACAGGACCAACGACACAATATAAATGCTGCTTCCCATACAAACATTGACAAAGCCTAACGTTATAGCCTTGTGTGTGCCTTCACCAGGGACGTTACTGACAGTATCTGTCAGCATATCTGCATCGACATTTTACCTTCAATTATCATCATAGTCCTGCTTAAATCAGTCGTGCTTCAGTAGGTTTCCATACAAAAACAGTGTGCTTTGGGCTCATATACACTGTCTTATCACCACAGAACATCAGCATAACACCGTGCAATTATGAAAATAATTACTGCTCCATTATACCAGGCAAAAAAATGTACAGCCCTACAGACAGGACAACATTATCTGGATATATAATAAACAAAACCTTAACAATTTTCTATAAATCCACCACCATGTCAGTTTATCCCTTTGACCCAATTCTTATTTTCACCTGTCATTATTTCCAGGTAGCCTTAGAATTATACTAGCACTACAGGTAACAAGTGTCCGGCAGATCTTAGGAAAATATTGATACTGGCTGTCAGATTGAAATGAAAACCACGCTCTCTAAACATTCATTGCACTTCATTTCTCCTGAAGAAAGGCACACAAAAGGGAGATAATAGGCACCATTATACTAGACAAACATCCACAGCTTTACCGCCACCACTTGTACTGTGTTGGTCGTCTAAAATACATTAACACAACAAAAATCATTTAGGAAGCCGAATGGGCCCAACTTAGTATAGCTCATGGCTAAAACCTGCCTATCATAGGGCCCTATCAGTCAGTATTGAGAGAAAAAACACATGATACACGACTTTCTAAACACCAGCCGAAATGAATTCATATTTAAACCGACAGATTTTCACACAGGTAAAAATGTCAACAAGACAGAGCCATTTTCTATGATGAATTTCTTCCCATCGTTAATCCTGTTTCGAAATAAAGTAGATGAATTGAGACAGTATAGCCACTCCCCCATCCTCTCCTTCACTCTTATGGACATTCTTTCCTGGCCTTAGAGACGCTGACAACCTTCAGGAAGCTACATCATGTCATATTTTACATGTTAAACATTCATTACATTGGTTAAAAGTGTTTCACATCAAGCTATAGGAGATAAAGAAGGTTATATACAGGATATTATTCTGCTGTGATACGGTTATAAACAGACCTACCCCTGCTGAAACTATCTCGGATTTTCTTTTTTATCAAATATCTGGGATCACTGATGAGAAACAGAAGGGTTGATTCAGGTATAAACACAAATTTATTTGATGAAATGAAAAGGGATCATAGCCAGGTTATATAACTGATCCTTTCCCATTACTTCATTGAAAAGTGTCCAAAAGATTTGAGAAAACTGCATGATATCAGGAATGTTACATGGTATAATGTCTTTTCTGGAAAGTAGAGGAGTACACTTTTCATAGTTATACCAGATAAAGGATTTGATTTACTGAAAGTGTGTGTCTGGTTTAGGTGATAAATTTTGTATTTATCATCCCAGCTTGATCTTGTTTCTAATTTTTAAAAAAAAAAAACCAAAATTAGGCACTCAAAGTCATACTGAATTTGTTTTCTTTATTACTTTGTTTTGGAATTTGACACTAAACAATTACAAATTTTTAACTTCATACAAATCACATTGTAGGTGTAGAATAGAGGATATGGTAACAGCCATTAACACTAGTAATCATAAGCTATAATTCAAATGTCATTACTCTTGGCCTAATAGCTCATAAGAAGAAGTTGTTCATTCAATTTCAGTACACATAAGACCACAGACATAAGATAATTCTATGTAAAGGTACTTGATTTCAAACTTGACAGATCTCCATATTAGAAAGCTACATGAAAAAATACAATTTTGTTCCTGTTATGTCCATTAAATTAACCGAATCCCCCACAAAACATGATCAACAATCATTTTGCCATGGAAACTGTACTGATGTAATTTTCAAAAGTTTGCTGTCCTATATATGGATATAATTACAACCTGTTTAAATCACAATTTTGTGGTTTTCCATGATATATACATTTTCCTTGACACTTAATTTCATGAATGAATCTCACTTACAATATCCACTAGTACTGTAATCCATGTCAACATTTAAATTGATTTTTATTTCCTTGACACATAAGTTCATGAATTAAGAGTACCCACAAATTTAATATAATGCTCAGGAAAATTCCTGATTTTACAGAAAATATTTTGGCAACTATTAGATAGCGTTTAGTTAATACTGAGGAAAAAGTCAAGCTTGTATACAAATTCTCAAGACGACATGTACTGGTTAGCATACATCTGGGTGTCTACACATGGTCAACAAGTTCAGGATCAGCATTCAGTAGGTTTATGTCAAAGTCCAGAGTGAAGTATGAAGAATTTGCATTATTTAATCAGATATTATGACCAGTATAATGGCTATTTATAGAAATGAACCTACAGGTAGATGATTTGTATGTATGTATAATTACTGGTTACATATGCAAGGTAAATATTACAACTTCACTCACCATATACAGATAGCATTAATGTGACCACCATTTAACACAGACACTCCTGGTGTCTTACTGTCATATAGAATGTTTAACAACATTACTGTCACCACATATATAATACACAGTCAGTGGTTGTGGTATAGAGTATCCTTATTCTTTCACTCTAGTAAGCTGTTGTTCAAAAGTTACAAAAAAATTTGCTTGTGTTTTTGTAACTTTAGGCAAAATAGCTAACTCAAGTGAAAGAAATACCATACAAGGCCCAATGGACTGCACTGCTCACCATGTACTCAATGTACATCTTTAGTTGGAAAGAGTGAGGTAGCAAATTGTGACAGTGGTGAGTGGGAGAAGGGAAATTTAAAGAACACTCCTAGCTAATCCCGATACATCAGATAACGTTTTACTGATGTTTGTTAGATTATCATCTTATTCATCATTTAACAAATTATTTTTGGCATCAGAGACATCAACAAGACTGAAATCCATCCTGTAACTTGGACACAAATCATAAACAGAGAATTTTTTATTTTTGGTGATGTAATATTGCATTTAGCCTGAAGTAAAAAAATATTATTTTATGTAATCTAAATATTTTATGTTGTTGTAATCCACTTTTATTTACATCCTTGACTGAGAGTGATCCACAAACTAGGTGTATGTATAACAGTAAACAGAAAATCAATTCATAAACAACTTCCACCACTGTCTACTTCAATCATTATGAAATCCGAGGAACCTGTTATTTTGTTTTTTTTGTCATTTGGCAATGCAAAGAAAACACTGATGAATCAGAAAGCATCATTTTGCATACAAACAACAAAAAATTGATCATTGACTTACAAATTAATTCCCTGCATTAATTCCTAGAAAGATTAAACACTAGGTAAATGCAAATTAAGCAACTTTATGCTAGCATACAATTGTGTATAGTACTTTTTGTGGTGTATTTTGAGTCTATGAATGAAGTATTTGTCATCAAAATTTTGAAATACCAGGTATAAACAAATCTATTAAGTAATTACCACCAAATTAAGCACCAGCAAAACAGTGATCTTTTGAAAAACAACGGAAATAAGGCCCCACGAAAATATTTAAACCTTCACTAATACTTGGTATGGTTTATTCCTACAGTAGTTATCTCCCTTTAGCAGATCAAGGAAAGTGAGTTATGCTGCATCCTTTTCACAGCCCAGCTATTATTGGACGTAATACCCATTAAACACATAAAGCACAGCTGTACACATCAGGTAGTCAATATCAAACTAGCATAACTTTATCAAATATTTCTTATGTTAAAGGCACTGGGGATCAAGGTGAAAATAAACATATATACATCATGAGGTTTTATGATACCTTTCTCAACATTCTAATCTCAATTTTATCATCAACACAACCTTTTCTAACCTTCTTTCATTTTCAATGTGTAAAATGATAATCTGTACATAAATATTGTTTCCCACTCTCAAGATGACTATCACATTCATCCAATTTAGCATATCTAAACATATTTTTTGTTACTTTCCTGTAATATGACGGCAGTAGAAATAATAACTGATAAAAGAAATTTTTGTAAAACTTTTTTTTTCAGACTTTTTATTGGATTCTTCACTGTAAAGTGCAAGGATACCAGAGTAAAAAGTAATGCTACTGATACAGTACAATACTCACATTTTGTTTCTTTGTGAAGGAGGCAGAGGTATTTATAATGCCATTCTGACAGCTGAAGATACTGGTGTATGCTAGGCAAGTCATTCCTGTAAAGTGTTCTACAGAAACTGTCCGTGCTTCCAGTGCAATATTCTCTGAGTACTTGGTGATATTTGCTCTCCTGGACAGCTGTTGGTGAGGAATTCCTTCTACTATATTCACCAGCCTGTTAGGAAAACACATTTCTTTGAATCAACCAATGCATTTGTAGAAAATATATGCTAACAAAAAATTATGTTATAAACTGTGACACAATACATACATTCTGAAAGAAATACATCCATTTAAATGACCAAATCATAAAACAATTGATAACCTGTATTTCTTTATAAAAAAAAAAAAAACCATTTGAAAATCTATATCTCTTTCATATCAGACATAATTACAATTTTCAACAATCCAGAAACTTCTCATGATACAGTTGTTAACCCCCTTTTGATTCATACCATCTGTTTGTCTTAATTTCTCATTTCACAATTAATATTCACTCTTTTCATAAACCTTTACTATCTAATTTGTAATATAATACAGTTGTTCAATAATTTATACAATATTTTCAGTGTAATAACTTGATATAGATAGGAGTTATCCCCCCTCCTACATGTATAGTATGCCATGTACCTGGTACAAGCTCTGGAAGCTTTCTGTTCTGACAGGAACATACTGGCCGGTAAATTCAACAACAGGCTCACAATATTCAACAGCACATCTGCCAACTGTAAAAAAATATATGTCTTATGTTATATTTTGGATAATGAAAACATTTAGAATTTTAAAATGAGCGAACAATGTGGTTACATTTGTATAAATATTTAAAACAGTTAAGGCTGGCTGAACTCATTTTAAAAAAATGCCAGGTAGAGATCGGAGCTTAGTCTGAGCTGAGGAAATTTCCTCACATAAAGTTTGAGGAGGCAAATCATACCTATATGAATCTAACTGGATGAGTATATGTAAGTTTAAGATTTTCCATCAACTCAAAGTTGATACCTATTGTGTTACTATATTCAATATTCAAGATGGAGTATATGAAAATTCTGCATTATGAGTTTTTCTTATAACATTTCTAATATCTAGTATAGGTTTGTTTGTTTATTATTGTACATTTTTGTGCCATCTGGAATTTTTCAACTGGGTTACATGAAAGCAGCCTGCTAATGTTTTATGTGGAGTAGGAATTGCAGAGTGGAATAAGGCTAGATAGTGAACCTGAGATTGAAGGGTGGGACAAGGCTACACAGTGTATCTCCCAGGATTGTAGGGTGGGACAAGGCTACACCGTGTATCTCCCAGGATTGTACGGTGGGACAAGGCTACACAGTGTATCTCCCAGGATTGTAGGGTGGGACAAGGCTACACAGTGTATCTCCCAGGATTGTAGGGTGGGACAAGGCTACACAGTGTATCTCCCAGGATTGTAGGGTGGGACAAGGCTACACAGTGTATCTCCCAGGATTGTAGGGTGGGACAAGGCTACAAAGTGGATCTCCCAGGATTGTAGGGTGGGACAAGGCTACACAGTGGATCTCCCAGGATTGTAGGGTGGGACAAGGCTACACAGTGTATCTCCCAGGATTGTAGGGTGGGACAAGGCTACACAGTGTATCTCCCAGGATTGTAGGGTGGGACAAGGCTACACAGTGCATGGCTCAGGATTGAAGTGTGGGACAAGGCTACACAGTGCATGGCTCAGGATTGAAGGGTGGGACAAGGCTACACAGTGCATGGCTCAGGATTGAAGGGTGGGACAAGGCTACACAGTGCATGGCTCAGGATTGAAGGGTGGGACAAGGCTACACAGTGCATGGCTCAGGATTGAAGGGTGGGACAAGGCTACACAGTGCATGGCTCAGGATTGAAGTGTGGGACAAGGCTACACAGTGCATGGCTCAGGATTGTAGGGTGGGACAAGGCTACACAGTGCATGGCTCAGGATTGAAGGGTGGGACAAGGCTACACAGTGGGCCTGGGATGGAAGGGTGGGACAAGGCTACACCGTTGGCCTGGGACTGAAGGGTGGGGAAAGGTGGGACCAAGACTAGAAGATAGGCAGGACAAGATTAGACATTTACAGTTAAATAAATTTGTTACAATACCTCTTCCTGTTGGTAAGCGTAAGGTGCCATCCTCGCAAGGGCGCGGGATACTAGAGTCAGATCTGTGGAGAAGGACATGTGGTTGGGTATCACCACCAGCTTCTGAAGGTTACGCATTGTCCGCAACAAACCACTTGAATTCCCTAGCAACTGCAACAGAGCACATGAAATGTACATCCTAGCCAAAACCAACATCCAAATTCAACAATAACAATAAATACCAATATCCAAATTCACCAATAAATACCAATATCTAAATTCACCAATTACAATAAATACCAATATCTAAATTCACCAATAAATACCAATATCTAAATTCACCAATTACAATAAATACCAATATCTAAATAAATCTAAACCAATTGCAATGAAGAATTATATCCAAATTCAACCTTAGCATATAATACCTATATCCTTTTCACCCATACCAACCAATACCAATATTCAAATCCATCCCAATAGCTACATCCTTTATCATCCATAGCAATTTATACTAATATGCAAACCCACTAATGACCACCAGCCTTCCTGAACAAGAAGCTGCATTTTTAACAAGTTATGTCATGCTAATGAGTTCCAAAAGATATCTTCATTTAAATATTTGCTTTCAACTGGAAATTGCTCAAGTCACTTCAAAGTTAAATCATTAAGAATCCATTAAGTCTGATATCACATGTCATCTTAGTGACCTAGTTAGGATGTAATGATTTTACCTGGTAACCTAAGATATACACAACATCACTGCAGACAGGTGATGATCACAGTAATTACCTGTGTCTTACCTTATTTATCTCAAATAAGCCCAGGTCAGTCCAACACAACAAAGTCATGTGATGGGCTTGTTACATCATGATGTCATGTTGCTAATGTTACACAGCAACCTATCTACTGTAGAAGTAATTACCTGACATGGACTTTTTGCACCGATTATTCTAAATTATTATTGATAGAAAAAATATTCCAAGAAAATTTCAAAAACAACAAAATACATAAGAATATATGATATGATTTCTACTCTGAACTGAAGAATTTATCAGTAAGATTTTTGTACAAAAGGAAATGTTATTCTTATTCCATATAGGAAAGTATATGCTTTCTATTCTATACATAAGAATATGTGATTTTTTTTTCTGTACAGAAGAATATATTATTTCTATTCTATACAGAACAATATGTTTTCTGTTCTGTACAGAAGTCAGAATGCTATTTCTAAATAATATAGTAAGTCATAGTTCATAATATCAGGCTGGAAAATGAGCTGAGAGCAATAGTATCACTTTACCCTATTCCCAAATGACCTGGCCTGCATGGTGGTTTTAAGGATATTAACCCCTAATTAAGGAAACAAAAAAAAATGGATTCCAAAACTTGAAATACTTACGCTATCCGTTAAACTCTCGCCAAGAGACTGGAGTTTACGAGTGGTATCACTTGTAAATTCACATCGGTCGACATTGAGGTCACGCCAATGACCTTCAGGTGTGCAATCATATGTGGCAAGTCTATCTTGGCCTCGTTTACAAGGGAGTTCACTCCGCACCCCTGCAACTGTTTTTGGCCATTTGTAGATGCCCCTCTCTGTCTTGGAAGTGATGGCAACACAGTAGAGTGCAGAACTTGAGATGACCACAATGTTGATATCATCAGAGACATTGCCTTGTGGTGTTGTCACCATACACTGCCAGATCCCTGTGTCATCTTTCCCAAGGTTATTCAGTAATAGTCTGTGTGTCATCATGGTTCGGTCCTGGGAGGGGTAGGTGTGTACAAAGATCCCAGCTGAGCGATTGGTTGTGACAACACCACCTTTCCTCACCCAGAACATGTGCATATTATCGTCAACAACTGATGCCTGACACTCAAATGGAATCTTGTCTCCCTCAAACACCACTTGGCTTTTACTGGGCGTGATCTCAAACAGTGGCAGTTCCAATGGACGATCTAGAATTGACAAAGAAAGCATAGCAGTGAAAAAGGATTAAACTTGAATCAGTATTATAAACAAAATTTACAATTCTTACATCACCAATGTTTTAACTTGATAATTTTTCATAAGGAAACACTTATTCCTGTGATTAAAATTGTGTGGGCACAGATAAATACCATCTAAAGTATGAGGGTAATGAATATACAATACTCCTTGATCCTCAATTAACGAACAGTTCCTGACTGGCTCATGTATCTCAAATGAAAAACATCTCTTCACTAAGAAGCAAGTGCTTGATCGGTACACTGTATATTTACATTCTGCATGAAAGCTTCCCATTAACTCAATGTTAATCAGTTTTGTATTCACAGGAGTATAGATGCAGTCTGGACCACATGAAAGTATCATGACATCATTGTGGCTCCAAGTTGATCAATGTTAAATGCATTTTAGCTTTACATTGATTTAGCGGAGTATGATTTTCAACAAGCTTTTCCAGTATGTAAACATTCAGTATGGCAAACAGTTTTAAATCAGAAAAAAAGACATAACAATGTTTTAAATAATATCTGAAATGTAAGTATAACCATTGAAAGTCTGTCAGATGGTATCTATTGTCAATACGAATGCAATCTGGGTGCTAGATAAATACAACATCACCAGAACAATGTCAACATTGGTGAGACAATACTCGGACATGGGAGGAGTCACAGAGACAAAAAACCTGTTACCTCAGCTAGATAAATTATAATAACGTTAGCGAATGTCATTCTTTCACCCAAATTGCATTCATATCGACAATAAATACAATCTGACCAATGTTCAATGGTTAATTGTAAGCTGCCTGATAAAAACTTACAAAGGTGAATGAGAATGGCATTATGCACTAGTGTTATCAAAGGGAGATAACTCTTAACAATAGTCATGGGGATAATGAAATCACAGGTACAAGAGTACATCTGCACTTATACACATCCTTTAAGATTGTGAGAGTGATTATCAAACACCTAAGTCACTGGGAAGGGTAGACAGACAGAGGAGAACATTGACCTTCTCTGTAATTACCTGTCTGTCCATATTTACCAGCTGGTCAGGTCAGGTCCCGTCTGGTCCCGTCCCTACCTACCATAAATCTGTTAGCAGTGTGGCTGTTCACTGCCTATACCTCCTATACTGGGGAGATCTCCAGCACACTTTTCCATACTAAGTGGAACATATCCCACAGACATGGGGAAGACCTATGGATTTACATAACGTATACATCAGATAGGAGGTAAATCTCTAGCATACCTTTTTGACACTATGACCTTCAGAAACATATCCCAGAAATGTGAGGTAGATCTATTCATCTCCGTTATTGATAAGGAGATGAAGGAGGAAATCTCAACCATACTTTACATCTATAATGACCAGGTACAATGCACCTATACCAGTAACTTACTTTCCATTATCTATCTTTTTTTGATAGCTTTAAATATCAGAAAAACCTGAAGAAGAGCTGTCACACCTCAGATTCATATAAAATACCATGGTATATCTCTCCTGTTCAGTGCCAAAAACCCAATTAATTAATCAACAAAGTGCCCTTCCTGTAATTTCATTTGTGTTGACAAGTAATAACAACAGTGTAGCGTGTGCCTTCCGTCTGTGTTAATGTGTTACTACACAAGCATAGTCTGTACCTTCTGTCTGTGTTAATGTGTCACTACAAAAGCATAGCCTGTACCTTCTGTCTGTGTCAATATGTCACTAGGCAAGCACAGCCTGTGTCTTTTGTCCGTGTCATTGTGTCACTAGACAAGCATAGTCTGTACCTTCTGTCTTTGTTTATTTGTCACTAGACAAGCACAGCCTGTGTGTTTTGTCTGTGTCATTGTGTCAATGTGTCACTAGACAAGCACAGCCTGTACCCTCTGTCTGTGTTAATGTGTCACTAGACAAGCATAGCCTGTACCTTCTGTGTCATTGTGTCAATGTGTCACTAGACAAGCATAGTCTGTACCTTCTGTCTGTGTCAATGTGTCACTAGACAAGCATAGTCTGTACCTTCTGTCTGTGTTAATGTGTCACTACACAAGCATAGCCTGTACCTTCTGTCTGTGTCAATATGTCACTAGGCAAGCACAGCCTGTGTCTTTTTTTATCCGTGTAATTGTGTCACTAGACAAGCATAGTCTGTACCTTCTGTCTGTGTTTATTTGTCACTAGACAAGCACAGCCTGTACCTTCTGTCTGTGTCAATGTGTCACTAGACAAGCACAGCCTGTGTGTTTTGTCTGTGTCATTGTGTCAATGTGTCACTAGACAAGCACAGCCTGTACCCTCTGTCTGTGTTAATGTGTCACTAGACAAGCATAGCCTGTACCTTCTGTGTCATTGTGTCAATGTGTCACTAGACAAGCATAGTCTGTACCTTCTGTCTGTGTCAATGTGTCACTACACAAGCACAGCCTGTGTCTTTTGTCCGTGTCATTGTGTCAATGTGTCACTAGACAAGCATAGCCTGTACCTTCTGTCTGTGTCAATGTGTCACTAGACAAGCACAGCCTGTACCTTCTGTCTGTGTCAATGTGTCACTAGACAAGCATAGCCTGTACCTTCTGTCTGTGTTTATGTGTCACTAGACAAGCATAGTCTGTACCTTCTGTCTGTGTCAATGTGTCACTAGACAAGCATAGTCTGTACCTTCTGTCTGTGTCAATGTGTCACTAGACAAGCATAGCCTGTACCTTCTGTCTGTGTCAATGTGTCACTAGACAAGCACAGTCTGTACCTTCTGTCTGTGTCAATGTGTCACTAGACAAGCATAGTCTGTACCTTCTGTCTGTGTCAATGTGTCACTAGACAATCATAGTCTATACCTTCTGTCTGTGTCAATGTGTCACTACACAAGCACAGCCTGTGTCTTTGTCCGTGTCATTGTGTCAATGTGTCACTAAAGAAGCATAGCCTGTATCCTCTGTCTGTGTCAATGTGTCACTAGACAAGAACAGCCTGTACCTTCTGTCTGTGTCAATGTGTCCCTAGACAAGCACAGCCTGTACCTTCTGTCTGTGTCAATGTGTCACTAGACAAGCACGGCCTGTACCTTCTGTCTGTGTCAATGTATCACTACACAAGCATAGTCTGTACCTTCTGTCTGTGTCAATGTGTCACTAAACAAGCACAGCCTGTACCTTCTGTGTCATTGTGTCAATGTGTCACTAAACAAGCATAGCCTGTACCTTCTGTCTGTGTCATGTTGTCACTAAACAAGCACAGCCTATGTGTTTTGTCTGTGTCATTGTGTCACTACACCAGCACAGCCTGTGTGCTTTGTCTGTGTCAATGTGACATCCCATTAAACAGTGTGTATGCACTGTAAGACCTCACTGAAGAAGAATCTTGGTTTATTATGTCCCTACTTTGATGATGCTTTCCTTTTTCCAGACCAAGGCTGTCTCCCACACTAATATTGTTGATTAGTATCCTCGTGTTTTTTGGTGACACTGACACCAATATGCACCCCTACCTATTGGACAGTATGAATAAAACCCATGACCTAAACATCTGTGTAGGGGATACAGACCCAGCAGGCACATAATAACAATCTGGAACACACAACGACAATCAGATTAACAACGGTCAAATTATCACTCACAGTCATGTGTAATGAAATTTGACACCTGAGTGACCTCCCCTTCTGCAGCTCTGTGGGTCAGGTAATTACAGGGCTAGTCCTACAAGGTGACAGGCTGGAGTGCTAATAAGCCAAACAAAACCCTGGGGGACTGGTCAAAGTTGTAAATTCCCTTTAAAGCTTTGTCAAAACTGTGAATTTTTTCAACAGAGTTATGAATTTTCTGTGGTTAAATTAATAAATATTGCAGACATAATTAACCACAAGCCCATGTAAAACACTTCAGTTTAATTTCCTGAAGCACTCAAGCAAGTTTTTCAGTAGAAAGGTACAAGATAAGACATTTTCTAATATTATTAATGGTTAATATCCTATAATCATTAATGCTCCAGTCATTTGAATTCCATCATGATTTAGTAAACTATGTTAAGGGTGTTTCAGAGAAATCCTAAGTAAACAAAGCACACTTGTGTTATATACTCTACAGGACTCATGTTGGTTTACTGAACTTCAAAATAGAGCATCTACCGTCTACTATGAAAAGGAGCTGTCATATATTCAAATTTCTTCTAGAAGAAAACTCAATCCTACTGTATCTACAGACTTGTTGCCTGGCCTTATTTTAGACAATTAGATTTGCATTTGGCAAACAAATAATTGAGTAAAAGAGTTATTGATATATATGGCTCCAGAAGAGTAACAAGTGTCTCCTCCACCAGTCCAGTATAACACAGCACATAATGTAGGGTTTACTAAGCTGTAGTACAAAGGTCAATTACCATAGAGCCCATCAGTGCTCTACAAAAACAATAAACCCATGTCTGTGGGGCAGGCTAGTCAACCCTATTTAAAATCATACCTTCAAACAATTTATGTGAAAATAACAGGCTTAAATGGATCAGTGATACGGGAATCCTATAAACCTGTCTGTCATACCCTCATTCTGACTCCAGCACATGTAAATGTTGTGAGAAGGTGGGTGACTTGTCTTTCTGTGCATACAAGGATCTGAACTTATATTTTCCTGACAGTCAGATCTAAATCTTAAATCACACTTAGATGTCATACCACAGTGTAATTCCTTCTTTTTGAGGCCTTTCACAGGGCGATCCTTTAGCTCCTGGGGTACTGCGCAGGTTGTAGAGGACTGAATGCGAACATTTTTTTCCTTCATCCATTTTGCTATCCAGCGCAGGTGACAGTCACATCGTAAATAATCGGACTTAAAGTCACTGTGAAAAAAAATCAATGGAAATATTAATCAACACGAGATCAAAAGCCCTGACACTTGTAGCAGAGCTAGTGTAACAACTGATACAAGTAATTAACAGATGTATTAAGTTTGAATAATGCATTCATTGATTTCTCCAAAATAACAGTGATTCATCCCTAACACAGGTATGATCAGAAGAGTATTTGTGACATATAAACACGGGGTCCAGTTGTGTTATAACTGTAAAATCTAATGATCAACTGATCATACACTGATCTACAGATTCAATCACCATGTAAGACAGCTTCCTTCCATTTATTCATTTTTTTCAATCTGATACACTGATCCATGTATAATAACAAAAACACATAATAATGCAATCTTACTCCACAATAGTGCAATCCCACCATGTATAGTGTGGTTGTGTTAAGGAGATATATGTACAAGATTTGTGGAAAAAAATAGTGGAAGATGTATGCACAGAATGTTCAGCTGTTTTGCACTCCCATAGCTGTAATCTAACATGGTAAACATTTATAAGGTAAAAATTTGCAGTGTCTTACTGGTAGATTTCTGTGGAATATCTTGTAATTAGTAGAGCTCCTGGTACCCTTATTGACATTGTCTTACTGGTAGATTTCTGTGGAATATCTTGTAATTAGCAGAGCTCCTGGTACCCTTATTGACATTGTCTTACTGGTAGATTTCTGTGGAATATCTTGTAATTACTACAGCTCTTGGTACCCTTATTGACATTGTCTTACTGGTAGATTTCTGTGGAATATCTTGTAATTAGTAGAGCTCCTGGTACCCTTATTGACATTGTCTTACTGGTAGATTTCTGTGGAATATCTTGTAATTAGTAGAGCTCCTGGTACCCTTATTGACATTGTCTTACTGGTAGATTTCTGTGGAATATCTTGTAATTAGTAGAGCTCCTGGTACCCTTATTGACATTGTCTTACTGGTAGATTTCTGTGGAATATCTTGTAATTGGTAAAGCTCTTGGTACCCTTATTGACATTGTCGCCAATCTAAATATCATTATCTCCTTTTCACCAACAGTCCGTCCCTCATTCCCGCACTCTGCTAATTATAGTGTGCACTCTATTGATTCTAAACCTGAGAAGTACTCCAACATTTTACAGCCAACATGTCTGTTTTCAATACAGTCAATATTAACATTACGGACAGTACCTTGATTTGCAAGTCAAAGCAAAGGCTGTGTTAAAACACACAAACACTTACATTTTTATGACAGACAGTGCCGGTATGTTAAGCGATACGCAGTATAATTGTCACCAACAACAACACACTTACATTTTGCGAAGGGAGATGAGGTCGCTAAAAGTGCCTTCAGGAATTGTGTTGATCTTGTTGAAGGATAAGGACCTACAATAAATGACAAGTGCGATGAAAATGACGATAACAAAAAACATCCACCCTCCTGTCACTGTCACAATACATCTCATTAAAAGGAAATAAATAGCAGGCTCCGTAACTCTTGATTCAAATGTCACTCCTCTAAGGACTGGTGAAATTTTAACGAGGTGTTACTTTTCTTTTGTATCTTTTTACCTCCCCTACCATCTACAAAATGAAGAGTCACCAGACATGTGGTAAATGTCCCCCAACACTAATTTTCTGATACAGACACAGATCTTTTTTGGAAGGGTTACCGTAGAAAAGCATAACATTCTGTTCCCTGACACCTTTTGGTGGACTAGCTGGGTTACAGTGGCCAATAATGAACCATCTGAAAGCTTACATCCACAGCATTTACAGCAATGGACCAGTGATCTGCACACAGAGTCTAATATTCAAATCTGATAATACATGTAGTATTAGAAGTGGAATCCGAACGTCACGTTAATATTTTTTAATGTTAGGTTTTCAGATATTTTTGAAATCAGATCTCAATTTTTTAAATGATTGAATTATGAACAATACTACATATGAATAATCAAGGAATAGGGAATAAGATAAAAATTATTAGATTTTCCACAAGCTTTTTTATCACAATATGGTTATTATAAGCAAACCTTTTTCATAGAAATTTGTTATCATGTTTCAATTTTTAACTTTAATGAAAACTTTCAACATACAGAATTTCTGTGGAGAATTTTACTCTTCAAAGTTGAAGGATATATACAGTACTACTAAAGCACCACTTAGCAATCAAACCTATCTCTAGTGCCCAGCCAGCACAGATATATCCCTACTCTTTATAACGCTGCATAAATTTCCTGAAATCTTATATTCTCCATAAAAGTTGTAGAATCCTTAATGATTTGACATCCCTCTGTGAAAGCTGAATGATGCCTACTTCCCTAAACTTCCCACACATCTGATGAGTGAATAATCTGATGATGAGGTTGAAATAAGTAAAAATTTTGTATATATATATATAAATATTTTGTATATATATATATATAAGTAAATATTTTGTATATATATATACCTATATATATGTGATGTTACTGAACACTACATGAAATTTCTCACTGGAAATAAAACAGATATGTCCATATATTTTGGTTACTCATTACTAATCTATCAAATTAAAATATCTATGAAAATTTACTTGTTCCACAGTTTGTAAAAAAAGTAATGAAGGTGTTTTTATATGGGGGGAAAAGATACCAGAATATTTGTTTTAAAATGAAAAAGCATGTTTTAATTTGAATCTATTGGAGCTGATAGGTATTCTTTAATTAATCCTCTATAAACATTATTGCTATGGGAGAAGTTTTCATCAAAATAAGATATATGGGGAAAAAATCTACACTATCTTAAATATGTGTGAATTTATTTGATTTTTCATTTTAGAAGAAACTTCGTCTCAAATTAAATAAATCCAATTATTCATAAAAATTCATGAACTCAATTTGTAGAACTGGCAACTGGTGGAAGTGAACAATAAAGATTTAATTCATTAGGCATGGAATCCCAAACTTTATCTCAGATTACACACAAAAGACTGGAATCCTAAACTTTTCCCCATGTCAAACTCAAAAGACCAACACTTAAAACGGAACTCAAAAAAGAAAACATCTGTAAAATTGAAGGAAGCGCTTGAAAACAACTTTATAATTATAGACAAAACATTCTAGTAAATGTACATCATAAATTTTATTAGTATAATTGATTTACACTAGTTTAAATGGAAGCAAAGTTATGCCACAGGCATAAAATTTCAACAAAGGGCAATAACTCTGTTTTTAATTTTTTGGGGAACATAATAATTGAATCAATGGGATTACAACAATGAAATAGTATTTGTATTGTACTGTACTGTATGGGTGGACTTATCACCTCACATAGGCTTATTGCAGGATGACATGTACAGACAATAGCTAACTAGGAGGCTTACATTTTCTGCAGACTGGACATTCCGGTAAACATGGACGTATTGACACTGCCAATGTTGTTGTACGATAGATCTCTGCAATGACAAAAACAAATATGAAATATTCAAAAGTCATGCAGTCCTTTTGTCTGTTAAGTTATTCCAACAGCTTGCATCAAAGTGTTAATTTATTAATATGTAATTTCAAAATTACTCCTGGCTTTGGAAAGACAGAGGGTTTCTCATTAGAAATTCCAGGTCCTGACAACATTAGAAATATCAGCAGACCAGTTGGTGTAATTATCAAACCAATTTCGAGGCAAACATCAGTCTAATGTCACTGCGGCTGAGGGTATGACACACCCAGTCTGTGTTGTAGACACACTGATCAATAAGATCACACACTTAATATCTGCCATTTATCAGTCTCTCAGTTCTCCATTTCTGCAAGGATATCAGGGATTCTTTTCAATTTGGGGCTATATAATGCTGTCTAGAGGTTCTGAAAAGATTTTGGCCATAAAACATCTTCTCTGCAGATTATCCAGTTTGTCAACACTTTAACATCAGAAACTTGGTAAATGAGACACAATGTCTAAAAACATGACATCTTGCTAGAACTGGTCCAGAGCCCATTACTAATTGGTAACACTTTTGAATACAGTGTACCTCATCGATGCTCCTATCTTGATACCAAATTCACAACATAACTAGGACTAAATTGCATGAACTACATGTGTAATCATTCAACTGTAAAAAAATGGAAGAATAAATTAAAACCAGAAATCTGGATTAAAATTGATGCCGACTGTGAGGCCATCATGGTCAGTTACACCTTATAAGGTACAAAGGAAGGTACGGTTTACAACAGTTAACATCCAATTTCTCACTCAATTAGAACATTTTGAACAAATCCAAGGTCTGCCTTTCTGATACTCTGTAAGGGTGTGAGAGTGATGACCTTTGTAACAGATCTGCCTTCACACAATTACTATCTATTACCACAAATAAATACTTCTCGCTGTTAATGTTATATTCTGATAAATTCTCAGCCTTTTTCAGTTTATGAAACATGCACTTAACAATCTGCATTTTACCAACATCAATAATAACTGAAAAAGTTCATTATTGTCTATACAAATTGACCTGCCACGAAAATTATAGACTTGATTAAGTCTGAGCAAGTAACCAATCATACATCCTATGTTAGATTTACGAGGCACCTACATGAAAACACTTCTGAATAATGTATGCTTTTCCTGGTCTTTGTAAATGCAGTTCAAACAATGTTTATACTGAACAAGATATCATTAATATACATTACAACCCATGTATCATGATGCACTTTACATTTATTACAAAATTATCATGACAAATTTGAAACACTGTTTCATATTGCTAACAAGCCTACAACCAAAGGCATGGGTATGAACTTTATGTGTAACTTCATAACCATATCACTACAGTTTACTATCATTAATAACTGACTTGGTGAAATAATATCCTGTAACAAAGCAGACTCGTCAATATTTCGGAATGAAATTTAGTAATTTGGAACATCAAAAGTATTAGTTTTGTGAAGATTTCAAAAGAAAAAATAATAATTACTAGTAATTATTTCAAACATCAAAAATAGTATTTTGACAGATGATTGAGAAAAAAGTAGTAATGAACAGCAAAAATTAGCTAATAATTACTGTGAAATAGTAGGAGTTGGCAGGTCTGCAAAAGTATAGCCAAGACAGACTACACTGTCTGGGGATACAAATCTGTCAATAGAGTTTTGTGAACGAAAATCTTTTTCAATTGTTTATTCATAATGTATTTTTTCAAAATATCAATTGCTGTCACATGACCTTTCCCAGGATACCATGCTGCTTGTCCAACTTCCTGTAACCTTTCTAGTGTTAAGTGTAAAGGCTGACCTGGAAACTCAATAAATGTTCCCAAGTGTGTATAATTTATCAACTAAATTAAATTGAAGTATTTATTGATTAAATAAAAAGAAAAAATTTAAGGAAATGAATCCTTAGATCAAAAATGAAAGGGGGTTGAATGTACCCTTTGACACCACTTCAAAATCTAGTGGTTAAAGGTAGCATGTGGATAGACCAGGTGGGTATACAGGTACATCACAGGTAAATAATGTACAGGTGTGAAAAGGTGTGCTACAGCAGGTAAGATCAGGTGTGTCCATCAACTGATACTTTGGTCCCTACCACCATAAATGAACCAAATATTGACCAAAATCAAATTACATATACCTTTCCATACCATTATATTACCAAACGTTTTCATGTGATTAACAACAAGTATATATAGTGTCCTGTTTTTATTGCCAACAATTACATTAAATAACAACACTTTTAGAACCAATACTGGGTTATGATTTTACAAGCACTGTGACATTTTCATGACTTGGTCAAACTAAAGCATTTGAAAGCATCTGAGACCCAATATGCTTGTTACTAAGGCAAGTTCAACTCTAACCATGTCCAATGGAGGCAACACTGGCCAGACTTCTAAACTGTTTAAAAAAGGTCAGTTCTTGTAGAAACATTTCTAGTCCACAACAAATGTTGAATATTGCATGTAAACTGAAATGAAAATAAAGCAATGAAACAATACCTTAGTATGTTAGCTACTTTTCAAGACACAGATTCTCCAAAGTCTACCCAGACTGTCATATCAACCAGACCTGAATTTCTCTATGATATCATTGTACATCTTGCAAAGTATTTGTAATATCTTCACAAGGAAGACCCATCTGAATATCTGTATGAGCTGGACCTAAACTACTGCTGCCATTTTCTGTCACCAGGTATATAAAACAGATCTAAGAGGAGATATGACGATGAGGTGGGAGGTGGTGGGTAGTGGTGGGTAGAGGTGTTAGGTATTTATATAATAACATCAGCTAAGATCAATAGATACACGTCATTAGATTTAAAAGGAAGTATAGATATTACTGGAATACCTATAACTGCCATTTAATGAGGATAGTGGATGAAGTGAGTTTCCTGCCTTGAACCATTGATAACATCCTATTTCACTGCCCCCTAACTACTTACTTCCTGCCTGTACTTTAACATTCACTGACATACTGTTAAGGTGTGAAGGTAAAATAACTTTTTCCCCTTCATTTCTCTCCATCAGTGATATCAACTGACTACACCATGTAAAAGTGTGGCACTTATTTTCAGTTTTTTATCCTCTTACTCTCATCTTCCATTTTCTGATGAAGGAATAAATGGAACCGATCACTTTGAGATTATGCTTTTGGTCCTCAGATATATGTATGAAGTGACATTGCAATTTTACAAATTGATTGTCTTCTAACATGACCTTCACATTCATAGCCTTAGAAAAGAAATGTGTGATATATTCAATGCTGTTTAGAAAGTGGTTAAGGATGACCTTTGAACTTTAAACTTGATCCATGATGACCACAGATTCATGCGATATGTTGTACATGTTTTTTACCCTACACTTATATGCAGATATAAAGTGATAATTACACAACTCCACCTCCCCTCCACCCATCCCTTCACATACACTCAACCTCCCCTCCACCAACCCCTCCACATACACTCAACCTCAACTCCTCCCATCCCTTCACATACACTCAACCTCCCCTCCACCCACCCCTCCACATACACTCAACCTCCCCTCCACCAACCCCTTCACATACACTCAACCTTCCCTCCACCCATCCCTTCACATACACTCAACCTCCCCTCCACCAACCCCTCCACATACACTCAACCTCCCCTCCACCCATCCCTTCACATACACTCAACCTCACCTCCACCAACCCCTCCACATACACTCAACCTCCCCTCCACCCATCCCTTCACATACACTCAACCTCCCCTCCACCAACCCCTCCACATACACTCAACCTCCCCTCCACCCATCCCTTCACATACACTCAACCTCCCCTCCACCAACCCCTCCACATACACTCAACCTCCCCTCCAACCATCCCTTCACATACACTCAACCTCCCCTCCACCAACCCCTCCACATACACTCAACCTCCCCTCCACCCATCCCTTCACATACACTCAACCTCCCCTCCACCAACCCCTCCACATACACTCAACCTCCCCTCCACCCATCCCTTTACATACACTCAACCTCCCCTCCACCCATCCCTTCACATACACTAAACCTCCTCTCCACCAACCCCTTCACATACACTCAACCTCCCCTCCAACCATCCCTTCACATACACTCAACCTCCCCTCCACCAACCCCTCCACATACACTTAACCTCCCCTCCAACCATCCCTTCACATACACTCAACCTCCCCTCCACCAACCCCTCCACATACACTCAACCTCCCCTCCACCCATCCTTTCACATACACTCAACCTCCCCTCCACCAACCCCTCCACATACACTTAACCTCCCCTCCACCAACCCCTCCACATACACTCAACCTCCCCTCCACCCATCCCTTCACATACACTCAACCTCCCCTCCACCAACCCCTCCACATACACCCAACCTCCCCTCCACCCACCCCTTCACATAAACTCAACCTCCCCTCCACCCATCCCTTCACATACACTCAACCTCCCCTCCACCAACCCCTCCACATACACTCAACCTCCCCTCCACCCATCCCTTTACATACACTCAACCTCCCCTCCACCCACCCCTTCACATACACTCAACCTCCCCTCCATCCATCCCTTCACATTAACTCAACCTCCCCTCCACCCACACCTTTACATACCCTTAATCTACCCTCCACCTTCCCCTTTACATAAGTAGGGGGTTTAAATATGAATCTGTATCAAACATCTTCCTTTTAAGGTAAGTTTTTCATGACCTTGCACTTGGTCCACCAAAAGGCTGACTACATGACCTTGACTTCATTCTTGTTGCTATAGTGGTAACAGACATATTTCCTTATGTGTTAAGCAGTACTGAGTGAACCTTGTCACACAAACATCTGTAGTCAAGGAAACCAGCACTAGTCAGTTGGGTAGAGCTGATCTTCAATGGGGTGTGGAACATCTCTAATGGCTGACACTAACTTCAAAGGCAGCACTGTAATGTGTTTATGTTAATTATAATCATATCT